AGAGATTACAAACTCACATGCCATCAGGGACTGGTCATAGGCTGACTTTACATTAATGCAAATTAAAAATAATATTGTTATTTTAAACAAGCCTGTGGGCTGAATTTGGTCTGTGGGTAACTAACTTATGACATCTGAGTTCTTAAAGTTATGTATTTTATTGAGATATAATACATATGCCATAAATGCAACCCTTTAAAGTGTATAATTCAGTGGTTTTTAGTATATTCACAAAGTTGTACAACCGTTACCACTAATTCCACAACATTTTAATCACCCCCCCAAAAAACCTCATACCCATTAGCAGTTACTTCTCATTTCCCCTCTCCCCCCAGCCCAGACTCAAGCAAACATCTTTCCCTCTATGAATTTGCCTATTCTGGACATTTCTGATAAATGGAATCATACAATATGTGGCTTTTGTGTCTATCTTTTTTCACTTTGTACAGTTTCCAAGGTTCAGTCATGTTACAACATGGATGTATCAGTGCTTTATTCATTTTTATAGCTAAATAATATTCCACTGTATGGATATACCACCTTTGGTTTGTCCATTCATCAACATAGACATTTGTTCGTTTCCTCTTTTTGGCTATTATGAATAATGCTGCCATGAACAATCATGTACAATGACCTTTAAACTTAAATTCAAAAATTTTACAAATTAGATTTTTTTTAGGTAGGCTCCACACCCAGCATGGAGCCCAATGTGGAGCCTAAACTCACCACCCCGAGATCAAGACCTGAGCTGAGACCAGGCACCCCTTAAATTAGATTTATAAACAGCTAATACATTAACACGGTTCAAGATTACATACGCTAACAATTAATGTAGTTTAAATGTATATAAACAGTGAAAAGGTTTTTCTCACCCTTGTCTCCCATATGCCCAATTATCACTGCTTTCTGTCCCACTAAGTAAACACCATTAACAGCTCCTTAGGTATCCTCATTTTCTTTCTTTTTTTACATAGAAAGAGAGCACACTTAATGCACTCCTCTGCACCTTGCTCTTTCATTTTTCCTAGATAGGTTTCCATGTTTCTACAGTATTCTTTTCTAAAGCCACACATCTTCTGTTATGTGGTTGTACCAGTTTATTTTTAAACATCTTAAAGTAATTTTTATACCCAACGTGGGGCTCGAACTCACAGTCCTAACATTAAGAGACACACACTCCACCAACTGAGCCAGCCAGGCACCCCCTGAGCACCTTGTTTTGAACCTACCTTCTGCTTCTCAGAGTATTTATCTTTATAGTCCCCACATGTAATTTAATGGGTCATTTTCACTAAATGTGATGAAAGGAAAACTTCAGGAAATACTTTTGAGAGTTTTTTCTCTATGGTGTTTGGCACATCTAATATTTTATCATAAAACCAGAATTAAGATACATACCTATAGGGGCGCCTGGGTGGCTCAGTCGTTAAGCATCTGCCTTCGGCTCAGGTCATGATCCCAGGGTCCAGGGATTGAGCCCGCATCGCGGTCCCTGCTCAGCGGGAAGCCTGCTTCTCCCTCTCCCGCTCCCCCTGCTTGTGTTCCCTCTCTCGCTATGGCTCTGTCAAATAAATAAGTAAAATCTTAAAAAAAAAAAAAAAAAGATATGCACCTATATAAAGTACAGGCCAAGTAGCAATGAAGTTGACTTAAAGGTCCATTTTCAGGGTGTCTGGCTGGCTCAATCGGTGAAGCATGTGACTCTTGATTTCAGGGTTGTGTGTTTGAGCCTCACATTGGGTGTACAGATTACTTAAAAAAAATACAATCTTTAAAAAAAGAGGTGTTTTTTTTTTACAATTATTTATTTTTTTTTAAGTAAGCTCTATGCCCAACGTGGGGCTCAAACTCATAACCCCGAGATCAAGAGCTGCATGCTCTGCCAACTGAGCCAGCCAGGCACCCTGAAAGTCACCCAGTTTTCTAACTATTATGTGACCTTATGAAAGTTGTTAGGAAAAAAAAAGTTATTAGGTTGCAAAATAAAGGATCAAGTAGACTTCATTATTTAAATATTTTTAGTTAATATGCTATTAAAATTAGTCAAAAAATAATTTTGGGAACCCTTGTACACTGTTGGTAGGAATGTAAAATGGTGCAGTCACTACAGAAAACAGTATGGAGACTCCTTAAAAAATTAAAAATAGAATTACTACATGACTCAATAATCCCACTTCTGGGTATTTATACAGAAGAATGGAAATCAGGATCTCTAAGAAATATCTATACTCCCATGTTCACCGCAGCACTATTCACAACATCCAAGATATGGAAACAAACCAAAAGTCCATCGACAGATGAATGGATTAAAAAAATGTGGATGGATTAAAAAAAGGAAGAAACCCTACCATTTGCAACAACATCACTGGACCTGGAAGACATTATGCTAAGTGAAATAAGCCAGACACAGAAAGACAAATACTACATGATCTCACTTATATGTGGAATCTAAAAAAGAAACAAAAATGTCAAACTCATATAACAGAGAATAGATCGGTGGTTACCAGGGGTTGGGGAAATGGGGAGTTGCTGTTCAATGGGTTTAGTTAGTTATACAAGAAGAATAAGTTCAAGAGATCTGCTGTCTAATGTACTGCCTATAATTAACAACACGGTACTGTGCACTTAAAAATTTGTTAAGAGGGTAGATCTCATGTTAAGCATTCTTACCACACACACACACACGCAAAGCTAAGGGACACAAGGAAACGTGTGGAGGAGCTGGCTATGTTTATTACCATGACTGTGGTGATGGTATAATGGGTGTTTGCATATGTCCCAACTCCTCCAAGTGTTTACATTAAATATGTGCAGTTTTCTGTGTATCAATTTTATACCTCATTAAAGCTGTAAAAAATAATTTCTGTACTTCTATTTACTATTACATAGATACTATGAGTTAAACACTACCTACCATCAATGCTGTTAGTTTCTGTGCTATGACATCTTCTTCTGCTGGTTTCTCATAAATAGCCATCATTCTTCATTCCCAACATGATACAAAACACTCAGAAACCAAAGAATTAAGTTTGGGTGCTTCAAAAGAAACACCAAAAATTCTAAGATATTGTTACAGAAGCAAAGATGCATTTACTTTTTTTACTGATTAAAGAACAAAAGATTGAGGTATTGGCATGAAATTGAGAGAACAATGGCACACTTGACTCCACCGGCCAACCCAGATAGAAAGAACAGAAAGAAACCAGTAGAAAGGCATGGCTAGCCATAAGAGACCCTAAGTGATCATGATTTCTGACCTCAGCGGGTATTTTCTGGATGCTGAGATGGAACAGTGTAGTCTTATCCAATAGAATGATTAAGGTGCTCTTCATTACAGAAACTACTTCTTAGGCTCTTGGTTAATTCTTCAGAGTGTGCCTGATCAAGTGCTAACAGCTGAGTTACATCCTTCTGGATTTAACTTTGATCTTAAGTTCTAGCCTATAAATGAGAAATGCAAGTAAGAAACATCCTCCTGGATTTAACTTTGATCTTAAGTTCTAGTCTATAAATGAGAAATGCAAGTAAGAATGAGGGGTCAATTTATTTTAAATCAATTTATCATTAAATACCAATGTGCACAGTTTCAAACATTTATAAATATCGCAATTTATAGAAAATTAATGGAATCTTAAAATTATTTTGAACAGTGATTTAACAATTATTTACAATTAACTCAACCTACTTTTGTAGAAACATAATTATGTTTAAAAGTACCCTCAACACAAAGTAATAATTTCACAGTACCTTTCTATAATATTTTTGTCACGCAAGCAGCAGCTGCATCAATAAAACCCAAGTAGACTGAATAATTTAGGAACAGCACAATCAGAATTGCAAATGCAAGCTACCATTAATTCCACACAAAACAACACCTTTTATACTAATATATAAATATTTTCCATTGTCAGCCCTGGTTGAAGAAAATATTAGGAGGCAGTATTTTCTTACTTGTAGTAAACAGAAATTAATTTTAAGATTTAAAAAAATTGACATTAAGTGCTAGATTAGGTAGGTTTTTATAACATGTAATACTAACCATTTTGAGAAATTCTTGGTTTCACTGGAAGCCATTTCTAATTGCAAACCTTTCTTCAGTTGTACTAGGACAGTAAATGGAGATAATTCTCTGTGATCCCAAATAGAAATTATACTTGCTTACCAGCAATTAATAACATATTTGGATAGAAAGAGATTCTTGGCTTTATTCCTAAGGTTTTCTTCTACTTAAGTGTTTAAGCTTTTTTGCTATTCCCTCAAAAGAATCCCTAATATGTCCAAATTATGTCAAAGGAAGACAACTTTATATGGACTAGTGCTTGTTTGAAAACAATATTTACCATAGTATTCCACAGTTTTGTCTTTTTCCTTTTTTTTAAAGACATATATCCAGCTAAAACAATTAAATAAAAAGATAAGGTATAAGAGATATAGTTGAAGTCACAATAAAGTACATTTTCTTTTATTGACATGGAACATATACTTAAGCTTTAAATGCTGGCTCTTTAAGAAAAAGTTTCTCCTTGTAAATATGCATAACTGTTGCCCAAAAATGTATACAGTGTTTTCCCCAAAATATTTATACACATAGTGGTCCACTTAAGACCAGCCCCATTATAACCTACTGAATACAATGTGCTCTGAATTTATAAACGGGCTACCCTCTGTATATAAAATATATAGGCATGTATGTTATACATACAAAGTAAGAAATATAAAAAGGAGAGATGAAAAGAAAAAGGGTTCTTCCCTGTAAGATCCAGACAGAAATTCAGTGTAATTAGTGAGGTCATGTAAAATGTACTCTTAATTTATAAATGGGTTGCCCTCAGTATATAAAATATATATATAGCCATGTATGTTATAGATACAAAGTGAAAAATATAAAAAGGAGAGATGAAAAAAGAAAGGAAAAAGCGTCCTTCCCTAGAAGACCCAGACAGCAATTCAGTGAATTAGTGAGACCATGTAAAATGTCCGATGAATTTCAGTTTTGGCAAATACCTTTCTGGAAAATATCTAAGTTTGAGAGTACCAAATTTCCATTTTAAGGATTTAGTAGAGGTGTCCATTTAAACATTCAGGGAAGATGTTGTGGTCTCCTTAATATGCAGAAAAGAGGACTTTTAGGGTCTGTTAAAGAAAAACAAAAAGCCACTCATTTTTAGCTGGTTAGTAATCACCCCTTAGTCAAGTGTGTGCAGTGCAGAGAATCAAATCCTAGACCATCAGCGTTTGAGTGTGTTTGATGAAAGATTCCAGTGAAGGACCTGAATTCTTCCTAGATCTCAGAGGGAATGGGGCAGGACGCGATGGCAAAGGAGGGGTCAGCCCCCAAGGTGGCTGGTCCAATCTTAACTCTTGATGTTAAAAAACACACCAAATGTTTCTATAGCATTCTTTCTGCTGCATTGTCTTTATTTCAAGCCACAGGTCTACTTGGAGGGTCATGCAGCAAGTGGCTTATAAATAAAATCAGAGTCTACGAATAGTGTCATCACATTAAGAGACAATCGCTGGATTCTCTCATTAGGCAAAGAGCTTGCATCTTTGGAATCCATGAGTTGGTATCATTTATGGGATACCTAAAATGGGGGACAAAAACCACATATATCAGCAACAACATACACGCAATTTAGGAGTTAAGGCAACGAAGACTATTTAATCATTTGAGCTACACATTCCACATGATTTCTAAATACTGCTTCACAGCTAAAATGCAACAAATATAACTAGGCCAATTCCAAAATTAGCAAATATTAACACTATTGCTAATTGTTTACCAAGGCAAGTGACTCCCACTGTTCTCAAATCTCAGCATATGTTACCAAGAGAGAGAACCTAAAGATGGTAACCATATCCCTTTGGGAGCCTAGGAATTTAGACAAGTAATGTATCCCTTAGCTTAGAGATAAGCTGTATGTCTCAATTTTGACAGAGAGTAGGCCTTTCCCTCCTTCACAGTACCAAGGGGGAAACAGGAGAAAAAAAAAAATCAGTGAAAACATTCAGGTGCAGTATTTTCCCTCCTTTTCCAAACCATCGTCATGTAGCCAAAAAAAAAACCAAAAAACAACAACAACAAAAAAACACCTCAGGATAATGAAAAAATGATATAACTTTTCCTAAAACAACTCATAAGTTTCTTTATAAATCTAAATGACTTATTTTTGGATTATCACAATATTTGGACAATATTTTTGGATACCCATTTTGGATATTTTGGAAAATTACAATATTTGGACTTTTCCACTAAACATTCCCAAGAAGCAGAAAGAAAACAGACATCTGTGAATTCTGTATAGACTTGTGTATACAGAAGCCCTTCATAAGGTGGAAAGCACTAATACCAAGATAAGGTATTGTTTTTATGAAAGCAGATTTGAATAAACTTATCCCAAATATGAAGGATACGGAAAATGGAAGTCTAGTTTTAAGTTCTCATGCAAGTAACTCATATTTTATCATTAAAAGATAATCTAATGTTCTGCTGATGTAAACACTTTTCATTCCATATTTATATATAGCGCTAAACTAATGACCTCAAGCTGAGTTAAGGCTTGTCGGATTTCTACAATCAGATGCTCCCTCCATATCAATAAAGTTTACATTTTACATGTTAAACCCAGGTCAACATCTGATTAATTACAAGAAATAATTTAACTCTTTCCCTTGTTATGAAGATTTAAAAAAATTTTCACTTTCTTGGTAACATATGGAACAAGTCATTGCCATGTAGTCCCTTAAGCCTCAATTGGAAGAAAAATTGAGCTGTCATCAGGAATAGCTCCCCAAAACGATTATTACATTTAAATCATCACAGGTTATGCAATGTATTTCATAACATGCTGAGCAGTTTTATTTTTCTAAGAATAAGCAGAAGTTAATGTGCAAAAAAATAATTCAGTTTTAAGTTTGACTCCCCTTATTTTAGCAATAATTTTTTTTAAATTTTTTATTGTTATGTTAATCACCATATACTACATCATTAGTTTTTGATGTAGTGTTCCATGAATTTTAGCAATAATTTTTAAAACTTCATCTCACAAAATATATTCTTTTAACTAAAATAAAAGCGACTATACATGTTGCCCAATTTTAGAGTTTTTCCAGACTCTGCTAACATACTCTGGTGGAAACTCTTACCAGAACTGAAATATTTAGACACGCGTGGCAAGTTTTCTTGAGTATGAAGAACTTACGTACGTTTGAAAGCCAATTGAATTAATGTCAAAAATTAGACTTTAGCATCCACCTGTCACCCTGAAAGTCCTCTCATGGAAGCTTTCACAGCACGCTACTTTCACTTCTGCTTCCTGCTGCGGCTGACAGCAGAACGTGGCCCCTCAAAGAAACTGTCATCTACCAACAATAAGAGAATTAAGCAGAGCCACAGGCCTCAATTCTGACTGCTCCGAAAGATTAATTGGTCTCACAAATTAGACCTTTCATGGATTTTCCAGGTTCCTCAGCACAGGAAGAACAAAAAACTCTAAACATTTTCTGCCAAGTTATACACAAATACATTAGTGCTAACTAATAAAAGTGTCTAATTTAAAGAGTAACTGACCTGAGATGTACCTTGCTCCGATTAACATTACCATGCTACTCACTATAAAAAAGCCCAAGGGTAGACTACAGAAGATACTAGGGTCACCTGTGGTCATCCAAGTAGAAGGGAATTCCAGTCAAGCAAACCAAAAGAGAGACACATAATTACAATATTTGTGTTAAGAATCACATGACAGCAAAACAAAATTAAGTTATAAAAATAGTATATTCATAAAAGCTAGCAGAGTTATTACTTCAAATCAAAAATATAATCAATATTGAAGGCTTATGACAGTTAACAAACAATATGGGTAGCATGCCACAGGTAGCCAAGAACATAATACATATATAAACCCACATAAGCCTTCCACTGGCAAAGCTGAAGAGAGTTGATGGAGAACTTTTTGGGAGGCCGTTGATTTTAGCTTTTTTGATTCTTACCCCAAAGATACTAAATGAGCAATCCAATTCCCCCAAGATTCAAGGTAGAGATCCTTTAGTTATCAGAGAAGAGTTATATTGGTCTACTAAAAATGAACTTCAAACCCTATTTTTGCTAAGATATTGGTTTTGTTTTCTTTTTTAAACAGAATTTGCTATGTAAGGAAATGCACCTCATAATTAGTATTACTGTAATTTAAAAACTAAATTGTAAAGGGGCACCTGACTGGCTCAATCGGTGGAGCGTGGGACTTTTGATCTCGGGGTTGTGAGTTTGAGCCCCATGCTAAGTGCAGAGGTTACTTAAAAATAAAATCTTGAATAAACTGTATGAATCCATATATTTTTTAAAATATTTTATTTATTTATTTGAGAGAAAGAGCACAAGCGGGGGCGGGCAGAGGAAGAGGGAGAAGCAGATTCCCTGCTGAGCCCACGTGGAGTCCCATGCAGGGCTCCATCCTAGGACCCCAAGATCATGACCTGAGCTGAAGTCAGACGCTTAAATGAGCCACCCAGGCAGTCCCATATTTTTTTTAATCTATGTATGTATGTATGTATGTAAACTCTACACCCAACATGGGGCTCAAACTCATGACCCCAAGATCAAGAGTCGCAAGCTCTACCGACTAAGCTAGCCAGGTGCCCTGTGAATCCACATTTTTAAAAAAATTGCCTGAGAATAAGGTTGTGTTGGTATTTTCTAACTTCTGTCAAAATCCCTTCCTTTAAAGAATATTCTTTATATACATATGCTTTTCTTGAATTTAAAAATTATGTTTCTCTATTATTTAATGCTCTTTTAAAAAGAAACATATTCAAAATTAACCTCCAAGTTTTAAGAATATGCAACCACTGGATGAAAGGGCTTCACTGAAATGCAGCTAGTTAAATATTTGCTATGGGCATAGTTTTTGATATAATAAACTGACAACAGTCATTTATTTGCCTTTTTGGGAAAGGACTTTTTTTTTTTTCCCTGCACCATATATTTCTTTCCCTTAGAAGGTAGATTAAAAGAGGGGTACAAACCATTTTCCTCCATTTTACCTCTGCTTGTGTTATTTTTCAGATAAAACCAAGGTTTCTTTTTGTTTCCATATTTGTGGAGACCACATTTTAATTTGATTTTAGGAAAGGGAACATATATTCTTGTTCTTTTAGAGCAAACCATCAGTTATGCTAAGTTCTTTTTTTTTTTTCAGTTAGGCTAAGTTCTAATCACTAATTTCCTGATATGGCTACAGTGAGTTCTAGTTTGCAAAGAAGACCCTGAGGACTATCTGCATTTACAAGTCCTTACCAATTTAGGTGGCATTTATTTATTTATGTATTTATTTTTAAATTTATATTTTATTTTATTATGTTCAGTTAGCCAACAGGTGGCATTTATTTAATGAAAATATATCCCTTTTGGTCACACACACACACACACACACTTACTTGTTATTTGATAGCTGTGCATTTTAAAACCAATTTGACCTGTTTTCAAAATGTTGTTTTGGTGTGTTTGGAGTGCAAAGCCAAGCTTATCATTTATGATAAGCTCTCTCTAAAAAGTATCAAACTCCCAATCACTTCTAAATTTTAAACACATGTCAAAATGTATATTAAAAATTATAATATATTCAAATATAGTTAGAAATAAGAAAATAAATATGACTGCTTCAAAGTGGCAAACTGCTTTGGAAATGAAGCTAACATAATATTTTCCCCATAAACTAAAGCAATTTAAAGAGCATAAAAGACCAGGTAGCAATTCTAATATCCTTTCAAGATTATTAAAATAGGATTCTATCTGTACTGCTACTATTATAGAGCTTATTGATATATAGTCATATATAGTTTATACTGCTTAAATAAATACAATTAGCATGTCACTAACTGAATATAATTCTGAGTTTATTACACAGCTTAGAGACTCAGTATTATACATTAGAGTGTGTTTCATAAATCTACTGAAAAACATCTTCAAACTCTTAAATGCATTGCAGTCTGAAACAAAAACAAAATGAGAAAAATCTAAACCTCTCAATAGCAGAAACTAAAGAAATCATGCAATTTTCTTTCATCAACTTTTTCTTATGTTTTAAATTCACTGACAGTGAGGTATTCAAACAAAGTGAAAATGATCAGTTGGTTTTATGGGAATTTTGCAATTAAAATTTGATCTTCAACTGCTAGCTAGTAAGGTGTGTGTGTGTGTGTGTGTGTGTGTGTGTGTGTGTGTGTGTGGCACTGTGGTGCAGGGAGGGACAAAGGGATGACTGTGCCATTTAAAAAAATCCAACAAGTCAACGAAAACATAGGACTCAACTGCTCATTAGCCATTGATTAAGGGCAACTAGAAAATAAATCAGGGTCCATGTTGTTATATCTTGCATAGCAACTAGCACCGGGCTAGGAAAACACTTATGATTGAGAAGTTTTGTTATAAAGGGTCTCAAAATCACAAAAGGTCTTAGTAAGAAAAGCTTTGCCACCATTTTGGAAAGAAAATGGAGTCTCAGAACAAAAGATTTAAAGAAAAAGGATATTAAGCTTATTTAGGAGGTAAAAAAGCTTCAGATAGGAACCTCCAGGACTGAAAATACAGATCAGTGATCTGTGGTAACGGATGGTTCCAGAAGTGTCTCCTAAAAGCCAGATACATTAAAAGTAATTTTATATTCACTTTTGGGTTGGAAGGCAGGTAATATTTCATTTATAAACTCTTCTCCATTAAAGTGTATGCTTCAGTATATTATTGGACATTGTTCTATTTATTATGTTCTAAATCTTCATTTAGCAAAGAATTAATATATCATGGCATATCAAAGGCACGTTTAAGTCTGTCCAATTATCAAGTGCATAGTAAAGGCAGCTTAAGGCTGTCTATGACTGAATGGCTTACTTAAGCCCAATACCTTCCTACTTAAGTTTTCTATTTTCTGCCAAGAGCATTTCCCAATCGATTATGACACTTCTAATTTACTATTTGGTACATTTCTTCCTCTCTGATTCCAATGAGTTCTTAAAATGTACATTCACTAAGAACTTGGAATCAGCCTAGGAAGCAGAGAAATAGATTCTGAAATTCACGTAAGTTTCAGTTGGTTCAGGCCATGAAGACAGCCCCCCAAAAAGGTAAAAGGAGACACTTAAAAAAAATAAAGAAAAGGAAGACTCTAGTTGATTTTCTTTTTCATTGAGAAGAAAGAATTTTACTTTTAGAAAGCTCAGTTACCCACTGAAGTACCAGGAAAAAACTAATAAGGAAAAGAGAGGGCCGGATAGAATTAAGTACGTATCTACCTGATAATTTACATTTTATGTTTAGAACTTTAAAGTGTTTTCAAAATGTTAGAAACTCTGGACATATGATAATGCTTTTCTTCAGAGCAGCCTTGCTAAGTGTAAATAGTTAGATACTTAAATAAGTTATTTAACATACTAGGCAAAGCGGCAAGAATAATAAAAACATTTTTACCACTTTCCGAAGACTGAGTTGTAACCCAACCCACTGACTTCATCACAGCTTTCTTCCATGTAGAGTAACGAATTTCACTTTCTAGAAATAGAAGGTAGGAAAAACACACATCTGAGAAGTAGTTTACGGAGCTAGTCCAAGCACTGTACTTATGTTCGCTCAGCATTTTCAACAAACTGTGACACATATTCAACTGGCATGGGGCTTTACCAGAACTTGGATTTGGGAGAGATACCTGCTGGAAGGTGGAGGGGAAATTCAGCATGGTGTTCGGGGTGAAGGGAGACTGGGAGCCAGGCTACCTATGAAGACCAGGCCATTCACAAACAAGTGGTGATGAATTAGAAAGGCATTCACATTGGATCTGTTCTCTCTTTCTTGTGGTGAGGAAGCGGGGGAAGCTTGGGATATAGGGAAGGGGTGTACTGTAATGTGGAAAGACTAGAAGGAGATTTGTTAGTCAGTCTAGCCAAAGGATTTAACAAGTACTGATTCTTCATAAGATTCAAGCTGCATTCCTGTGATACAGGATCTTTTTTACGATGGAAATCCACAGTAAGAGGACTGAACAAAAATGGGCACCACTGGTGCGTCCACCCACACGCACTCCTCCTAGTAATGGGGAGGCTTGCAGGAAGGTGTCCCTGTCGGGCCTCCTGGCCTTGCCACAGCACCTGAAGCCTGTGACACCTGAGCGACACTGCTCAAGCATCACTTGCTTCAGAAAGCTTTCCAGGGCCCCACTTATGCCCCTCCTCCATCTTCCCACACCACCTCCCACACATCTCAGGTGACCAGCCACCACAGTGAACTGTCATGGCTTTGTCTGCCTCTCCCAACATACATGAGTCTCCTGAGGGGCAAGGACTTCGTCTTAATCATCTCTATATCCCCACAACAGGACAATTTCTGGCCTGTACTCAGGTCTAAAAAAAGTTTGCTGGAGAATGAACTATTTATACCTAGATGCCTGTTACACATGTGCGCGTGTCCGTGTTGTGTGGGGAGGCGTGGGGCTGGGGAAGGGAAGGACAGCTGACATAACCGACCAACTCTGGGCTAAGGCCTTAAAAAATGGCAAAGAAGGCTGTCCTCAGAAAACAGAAAACCCTTTGCACAGAACTTCCTTGCTTTAAGAGTGGGATTAGCATCTCAAGACCATATATTCACTCTGAACGTTATTTGTTTATTAAAAAATTGATTTTTCTCAGACGTAGAATTTTTGAGCCCCCATTTAATCCAATATTAATAAAAATTACCTACAGATAGAATATCAGATTTTGAAACACATTTCTACATCAAGTTACGTGGTATACTGACTATAAAATTACTAGTGTTACAATCCATTTTCTTATATGTGAGAAGGAATAAAATTAAGAAGTGCTGGCTTAGTCTTCCAGAAAATTAAAGAGAAATGCATTTGAAAGCTTATTTCCCAGTAGTGCAAAATCTACTTTGATGCGATTTTATACATAGGTTTTTGAAAGGCTATTAAATCAAATTCAATATATATAAAGCCTTATTTTTGTACTGACATTTATTTCAATTTAAGAGATGCACCACTGTATTTTAAAAAGGTGTTGGTCAGAGCCTGTGGCTTAGCTTAGCTGGTTAGGACAGTGAATCAGGTATTTGAGGCTCGCTTATTTACACTGTTGCCGCTTTTGTCAGGCTAGCTCTGCTGGGCTTCAAAGTTACCAGGATGTCCCTTAGGCCAGCTAATCATGTCCTAAAACTGGGCCACTGGCACCACAGATGGTCAGGTCCATGGCTGATCTATCTCCCTTCTCACTTTTAAAAAAGGCTATGTTAGCAAGTTAGAAGCAGTGTTATCCTTCTGCATGAAAGGACTGTAAACAGTAGAAGTGGATGGCAAAAAAAGTGATTTTGGAAGTTTTTTTTCTTATAATAAGGAACTTTTTCCCTCATTCAGACTCAGTGCACCCCAACATGCTTAGTAGCCAATCGAAAACAGTAGCATTTGCTATTTTGCTTAGTTTCTGAACTTACGAATAAACAGAAAGGCAAACTCTCTTTTCCATGGTATACCATTAAATTTATATTTTAAAAGAAATTTTATTTTTAAGTAATCTCTACACCCAACGTGGAACTCAAACCGATGCCCACAAGATCAAGAGTCATGTGTGCTCTACCGACTGAGCCAGCCAGACGCCCCTAAATTTTCATTTTCTAAACATACCTTCAGCATTGATCTGGGGTTCAAAGCGCTCCATTGTGACCGCGGACAGATCCTCGGGTTCAAGACTCCAAACGCCAACTCCTTCTGCGGCCCCTGCGGCCATGGCAGCTCCCAGGGCGGTTGTTTCGGGCATCGAGGGCTTCACTGAGGGAAGGCGGCAACATCAACATCTTTGCAGTTACATACATATGCCTAAAAATACCAGTTCTTCCGAAAGAAATATTCCTCTCAGAATGCAAAGGAATGAAGGCTTACTGACCTACTGGGATATACAGAATATCTGCTTGCAACTGCATAAGAATTTTGTTGTTGGTCATTCCTCCGTCTACCTGCAAATGACTGAGCGGAATTCCACAGTCGCGGTTCATGGCATCCAAAATCTTAAATGAACCAATGCAATGCACGTAATTAAACTACTACTCCATAATGACATCTCTGAAAATGGCAGTCTTCTACTCAAAAACCCTCAAGAGCTTCCCAAAGCCTACAGAATCAAACTTAGATTTCTTTTTTTTAATGCTTTTTTAAAGATGTATTTATTTATTTATTTGACACACACAGAGAGAGAGAGAGAGAGAGAGAGGGAGAGCAGAAGTAGGCAGAGTGGCAGGGAGAGGGAGAAGCAGGCTCCCTGCTGAGCTGGGAGCTCTATGCGGGGCTCGATCCCAGGACCCCGGGGTCATGACCTGAGCTGAAGGCGGACGCTTAACCAACTGAGCCACCCAGGTGCCCCTCAAATTTAGATTTCTTATTCTCATCTTCCAAGCCTTCCTTCAGGGATCACACCAGCCTTTCTTCTCACTACACCTCTGCCCTCACCCGAAGAACCAGCCATGCCAAAAACCCCAACTTTGCACCCTGGTTTCCTGCCCTGATGCGTATGCTTGTGCTATTTATGTCCTTTACCTAACATGTTCTACCTGACATCCTCCCAACTGTAAAACACTCAGCGCCTGGTGGATGACAGGAACTCAGAAGGTAATGACAGCTAACAAAAAGAGGAGAAACTTGTACTTATTAGAAGAGAGCTTAGGCGGGCTTAATTTTTGATTAGGTATTTAATAATGAAGCATTTAATAAATTTTCAGCATTAATATATAATTTGTTTGAAAGTGATACAAGCGGACGAAGTACAAGAAAAAAAGCTCTTATTATTACCTCCCGGGTTTGGAAACAAACAGCTTCCAATGCAGCAAAAGCAATATGGCATTTATTGGTGAACTGAGTGAGCCCACAGATGATCCTAAAAACACACACAAAGATTTTTAAGATTAGAGTGGAGTACACGAGTCAATCTGAAATGTCCTGAATACGGAAAGGTTGACCTTGGTAGACAGAGAAGTTCAGGGGAAAAATGCATATTAAAAAAAAAAACGACATAAACAATGAGCAGCTTGGAAAGTCCTTATGGTCCAGAATCCTGCATCCGTATAGGGAAAAGTCCAGGATCCAAATGAACAGATGACAATAATGTAACACCAAATCAGAATTCATCTAGACAATGTCCCCTGGATACATAATTGGCAGAGGCCTTAAAGATAAAAGATCATAACACTGACATGGATGTGGCAGGGGCTTGTTGTCAGATGATTTATAATAACTTCTTACAATTTAAAGGTCCTGAAATTAATACTCTCCAAACAGAAAAGGTTTCCTCAACACTTTAAGATCATTTGAAAATAGACAGGAAGCTAGAAACTATAAGCTATTAGCTAATTTAGTAAATAAATCAAGACCCGTAAAAGCATACCTCATATTCAATTCTTACCCTCTCGCACTGGGCTCCCAGTAAGGTGCGTATAACCCTGAGAACGCGGGGACGAAATAGCAGCCGTAAGAAGTACCTACTTCTTTAGCAAGTTTTTCTAATAATAATAAAAAAGAGAGAAACAAAAATCATTCTAAAATATTCTATTACTCTAGTCAATAAACACATCTGTATAAAAAATTAGGATAGGGCTTTTGATTTCTTATTTACTAGTAGAGCAAATTTTCTGAATTAAAGATGTAAGCTGGGAGAAACAGAAACAAACTTCCCCACACTGAATACCTGCCACTACAATGTAACCCAGGCCAAGAAATAAAGGAACTGGATTAGTTTCATCAAGGTATTTTAACTCATTTCCACTATTTCTAAGGTGGTTGACTATGAGATGAAAAAGTAGCCTCCAGTGCGTCCCCAGTAAGAAATGTGCTTCTGATTGTCTCACCTTCAGGCCGAAGTAAACAAGTAGATTAAAGAGTGGGTAGATGAGTTCAAAAATAATTATCTGGGGGCGCCTGGGTGGCTCAGTCGGTTAGGCGTCTGCCTTTGGCTCAGGTCATGATCCCAGGGTCCTGGGATCAAGCCCCAAGTCAGGCTCTCCGCTCAGTGGGGAGCCGGCTTCTCCCTCTGCCTCTGCCCCTGCTTGTGTTCAAAAATAATTATCTGTACTGAAAATAGTCATATTAATAGTTAAATGATAGGCACTGGGGTTTCAATGCTCTAATCTAAGAGTTCAAGTTCTTTCTCATCAGGTAAATGTAACTGAACTACTTTACCTGCAGATTCTGGCCATCTTTGCTGTTCGATTTTACACTTGGGTAATTTTTATGCCCTACCTTGCCAGTTTGTTAATAGCCACCACTAATTATGTCAATTTGTTGTTTTATAAATCTTCACAAAATAGTCTTTTCTATATACCTCCAACTCATAATAGGAATCCATATCATTTAATGTCACATATGGCTCAAAGTACAAGTATTAACAGACTGCAAAGGTAAAATATTAAAAATTTTCATTCTTTAGATTCTAGCGCTGTGTTAGAACATACTCACCAATTTCCTCTGAGGTCTGTATAATTCCAAGATTGTCTCTTAGCCAACGAATAACAGCACCGGCTATCGCTACAGAACCCTACGAAAGAAAAGGAAGCCCAGACAGAATACATGTTATCACTATAAAAAGATGTCATTGAGCATTTCTAAATGAATGACACTCCAAGATGGATACAATTTAAAACTGTCAACTTTGGGGCTTTTACAAATATCATAAACGAGGTCTACTAATGCAAACATAGTTTTATCTAGGTCATTAGAGACGTTTTTTCATGAGACAGGGCGAAGAAGTGAACCCTCCAGCACACCCTTGGACCTATCCAATCTGCTGTTCTATGGACTGCTGCTGAACTATGAGGTAGATTATCACCCAGAAAACATTCCCGCCCTATCTCCCAAGTTATCAGGAAAGGCCACATTAAAAGTTTTTTTCAAAACCATTTCCTGTATCTAACAGCATATTAAATCATGCAACAGTAACAAAAAAGCGAAGAAGCTAACTACAAAGTAATTATTCAACAAAATCACTAAGGGATGGGGAGGCAGGGAGGAGGCTGTGGCAATACGGAAGAAAACGTATGATATGGAGTCAGATGAACAGGCTGAGTCCAAGTTCTAGTTCTTAACTGCTATGTGATCTTAGGCCCATTAGTTAGGCTTAGTGAGTCTCCATTTCATGACCTATAAAACGGTGGTGACTATCACAACACCTACTTAAACGACTATGAGGCTCAATATGAGCATGGAGGGGAAGGTTATTACTGAATGTAAATATTAGCTTCATTAGTTTTTTCTGTGTTGAAAAAGTATAATCCAAATTCCACTGACTGATGAATGGACAAATAAATATAGTATATTCACACAATGGAATATTATTTGGTTACAGGAAAGAATGAAGTTCTGCTATAACGTGAACCTTGAAAATATTACGTTAAGTGAAAGGAGCCAGTCACAAAAGACCATAAAGTGCACCATTCCATTTATATGAAATGTCTGCAAAAAGCATATCCATAGAGAGAAAGAATAGATTAGTGGATGCTTAGAGTTGGGATGGTGCGGTTATTCTTTGGGGTGATGAAAATGTTCTAATGTTAGGCTGTGGTGATGGTTGCATGGCTGTGTATACTGAAAACCACTGAACTGGATACTTTAACAGGGTGAATCATGTGATATGTGAATTATGTCTCAATAAAGCTATTATAAAAAGATCCTGAGGAGAAAAAAAAAAAGTACCAGCACAAACCATTAGGAATTTCAAAGGTTTTTTGGTTCTGATGTTTTATATTCATACAGATTATTAATGTAAATTACTTCCAGAGTCACCCCAAATCAAAACATCAGGTGAGATTAAGTACAGAAAGCAGAATGTTTTTTAATCTGTTGCCTACCTCCTTGCCTCCAATTCAATTAACTGAATTACACATGGTCACCCCTTCCTGCTGTCAATTTCCAGGATATAACAAACTAGACGTGGAATATGATGATTCATTCTATCATTCATAGCTTCTATGAGAATAAGTCACTATATGCTACTGGAAAGCTGCAGACTACCACAATCGTTCTCTTTATACAGCAGCTTTTTAGCTATAAAAAATTACTAAGGAAGAGATCTGGCATCACTGGGCAAATTTAACCAGGCTTTAAAAATGGGGAAAAACCCAATTCAACAAATACCTTGAAGGGACTCTAAACCCACTGTCTCTCTCTGGAGAAGTTTTCAGTACACTTCCTAACTTTGATATGTTATGTATTTAGGTACTTAGTGGAACCATCAAGGAAAACTAAAGACTTTAGAATTTTACTCTCAAATGTCCTTTGGAAGCAAACAATTCAAAGATGGTAGCTGTTAAAAACAAGTAAATGTGTAAGATTTTCTAGACCAGCACTGTTCAGAAGAAATATCATGTCAGCTACATATGTAATTTAAATTTCGTAGTTATCATATTAAAAAAGTAAAATAAGACAAGTTAAAGTAATTGCAATATATTGTGTTTACTCCAAAATATGAAAAATACTATCATTGCAACATGTAATCAATATAAAAATTATTGAGGTATTTGATTTTTTGGTACTAGGTCTTTGAAATCAGGAGTATATTTTACACTTACAGCACATGTCAATTTGGACTAGCCACATGTTCCTAGTGGCTTACCATACTGGAGAGCACAATTCTAGATCTAATTAAAAAAACAGGTGTCCCTTTCTCCTTATATTCTCAAAAGACACTGGGCCTGAACTGCATCTAACCAAGAAATGCAAATATTTTCAATATTTTTAGGTGAGTAAACTGATACCTTCAAACAGCTGCTGGGCTAGAAGTCTAGTGGAATGGTTTTGTGGTTATCAGCTAGCGGAACTTTATACTTTGGGAAACCAAATGCTGATGAACCTCATTTCCATTGAAAAGTCAGTATGTTATAGGCTTAGATAATTTTTTTTTTTGGAGAGGAAACAATATGGTTTTAGCAAAAGGAGTATCAGGGTTTTCATGAAAAAGTAAGTGGTTGTGAGCCAGAGGGCATTACTTTGATTGAAACAAAAGAAAAAAAAAAATACAAAGCCACTCTCAAGGCTCCAGAAGAAAATTATTCTAAATGTGGTCATCAGGAGTATATAGGAGTGTTTGGTTGTAAGTGAAAAAATAAATTCAATATAAGAAAATAAAAGATACATTAAAAACACTCATCTGAAATAAGAATATAATTTTGGTACCCGGATATAATACATGGTATTAGCTAGCCTTCTAAAAAATTAATAAAAGTGAAAGAAACCTCCAAATTCACAAAAGATGTGGTCTTCTGAATTCAGAGGCAGGTGATAAAGTGGAAAATGGCATAATGCTTTCAAGGTGGGCAGGAAAGAGTACAGGAATGGAAACCTAAAATGACAGAAGGTGATGGTCTACTTGCTATCAAAGAACCTATTATCAATTATATCCTAAATATAAAGATCCAATACTTCAGTGTATCGTCTACATATATGAATGAACTCTCATTCGAAGGCATGACCTATATGGGAAAGGCGCATGCAAGCTGAAGAGCTGTACTCTAAGAAAGACATAACAGAAACGAGAAGGTATAAAGAAAAATAAATGAAATGATGAACAGGACAAGAGGAATAAATAATTTAAAAACTAGGGGTGCCTGGGTGGCTTAGCTGGTTAAGCATCTGCCTTCAGCTCAGGTCATGATCTCACGGTCCTGGGATCAGGCACACATAGGGCTCCTTGCTCAGTGGGGAGTCTGCTTGTCTCTCTCCCTTTGCCCATCCCCACCCCACTCGTGCTTTCTCTCTCTTTCGCAAATAAGGAAATAAAATCTTAAAAAAAACCCAACTAAATACATAGCCTGGTAATCGGAAGGCTAAGAAACAGGCTATGGGAAGAGCAGATTAAAAATAATGAAGTAGGGGGCACCTGGGTGGCTCAGTCAGTTAAGCGTCTGCCTTCGGCTCAGGTCATGATCTCAGGGTCCTGGGATCCAGTCCCGAATCGGGCTCCCTGCTCAGCGGGGAGCCTGCTTCTCTCCCTCTGCCTGCCGCTCCCCCTGCTTGTGTGCCCTCCCACACAAATAAATAAAAATCTTTATAAAATAACAAGAAAAGGATTCTTTCTCTCCCTCTGCCCCTCCCCCCACCCCTGCTTATGCTTGTGCGTGTTCTCTCTCTAAAAAAAATAAATAATAAATAATAAAGTAGATCTGATGTAATGTCATAGAAGACAAATATACTTTTCCTCAAGGGCTCCTTGCCATGAACAGTATCCATATAAAGGAGACATTTCAGGATGTGGGGTAGTTGTATGATACAAGGCAGTTACGGTTAAAATCAGTGGGTATGGAGAAAAATTATGTAAAATTAAGATTATCCTCAAATTGCTTAAAATCATCTATTAGGCACGGTAAACATAGCTTTGTGTATGTGACAGTAATATGCATCTCTGTGTATATAATTTATACTGTACTTAATTTGTGTAAGATTACAAATGCAAAATCTAACTCCATAGCATTTTTAATTGCATAGAAGAAAGAACAGAAACCTAGAGTTTAATTGGGGGAGCCTTATTTTTAAAATGTAATCTATATTATCAATACTTCAGTAACAAGTTAGGGAATTAAGATAAAAAGCATTTACTGCTCAGAAAGTATACTTTCCAGGAAAGTACATTACAAAAGTCCAAGAACAACGTTTACAAAGGCTGTGGCAGACAGATTCATAATTAAGGTGGCCTCCATGGTCCCCACCTCCTGGTGTTCGTGCCCATGTGGGATCCTCTCTCCTTGAGCACAGTGGGACTTAGGACTTGCCGCCAAGCAGCTGCACATGTCAAAGGTGATGGATGCACGTGATGAAGTATACATGATTAAGCTACATAAGATTATCATGGCTGTTGTCTGGACTCTCTCTGTTCCTTGCTGGCTTTGAAAAAATAGAGGGGGTCCTCTGTTGGGGTCTTCATGTGAGAAGAAGCTGCAGATGGCCTTGAGGAGCTGAGGGCAGCCTCTGAGCTGACAACTACCAAGAAACTGAAGACCTCGGTGCTACAACCACAAGGAACTGAATTCAGCCAATAATCTGAGTGAGTGGGCCTGGAAGGAGATGGAGGATTGGATGAGACCACAGCCTTAGCCAACACCTTGACTGCAGCCTTGTGAGACAAGTGGTTGTAAGCCACTTACATGTGTGGTAAAACTGTTACACAGCAATAGATAACTAACACATAAGCTTATACCAAAAATGGAACATCTGGCTTAAGAAGGGTGAAAACCTCAGGGCGCCTGGGTGGCTCAGTCGGTTAAGTGTCTGCCTTCGGCTCAGGTCATGATCCCAGGGTCCTGGGATGGAGCCCTGCATCAGGCTCCCTGCTCTGCGGGGAGTCTGCTTCTCCCTCTGACCCTCCCCCCTGCTCGTGCTCCCTCTCTCTCTCTCAAATAAATAAATAAAATCTTTTTTAAAAAAGGATGAAAAACTCTAAAAAGGAAATGTCAACACCATCATCATAAATCATACCAAAGAAGAGATGGGAGAAGGGACATTTAAAGAAACTAAGAGGGCCTATACAGAAGACCTCTTTGAAACTCT